TTTCACGCGCTCACGCCCGCCTATGTTGGCCAAGATAGGCGCCTGCACGTGTGGGCGCGAGTACCGCTATACGCGTCTGCACGTGTGGCCGCGTATCTTGGCTAAGATACGCGCCGGCACAGAATGACACGTATCAGCCCCGCGCCGAGCTCGATGCGCGGCAGCGGGTGAGGGCGGCTATTCTCCCCCGAGGCAGGCGAGGATACGCAGTCCCTCGTGTCGCGCGTGTAAGTCCCGGTTGCCGTGCGCGCCAGCGCGTGTGGCCGCGTACCTTAGCTAAGATACGCGCGCACGGGCGTGGGTGGGTAAAAACGGGTCACTTTGCGAGGTTTGCCCTCTCTTGCCCCCGGAACACTGTGTCCGAACCCTGAGCGCGCTGGCGTTTGTTGCGCGATGATGCTCCGCGTGACGCGGCCGTCTGGATCGCCAGTCGGCTCTCAGATCATCGTGCAGGACCCGAGCGGCCGCCAGTTCCGCGCGCGCATCCCTCCTGGCGTGGCCGAGGGCGGCGTCTTCCATGTTCGCGTCCCGGCGGCAGCGCCGGCCATGTGGGACCACGCGTACGCCACGCCCGCACCGCGCTCCTCGGGCGGCGGAGGAGGCCAGGCGGCCGTGCCTGGCGGCCTCCCTGTCGCGGTCCCGACGCCACCAGGAGGGAGCGTGCCGATGGGCCTGCCCGTCACCGCCACGCCAGCGCAGCGGCAGCAGCCGCCTCCGCCTCCCTTCTCGCGCGAGACCGACGAGGAGCGGGAGGAGCGCGAGCTCGCTCAGGCGCTCGCCGAGAGCGCCCGCCTCGCCGAGCCGTCTCAACAACCGCCGCCGCCGCCGCCGCCGGCCTCGCCGCCGCATGTCGCGAGGAGGAGCAACCCATCTTCGGGCTGCGGGCGCGCTCTCATTGAGTACGTTTGAAGGGGTGCTGGCTGCTACTAGGAGCAACTCGTCCTTCGGGCTGCGGCCGCGGACGGGTAGCGACGGCGTGACCCGACAGCTCGCCGAATGCGCGGTGTGTTTTGAGGAGCTCTGCTGCTGAGCCGTGCGAGGCACGCCCAGGACACGTCCAGGACATGCCCGAGACACGCCCCGTAGGACCTGTGCGCGGAGCCGTGCGCCGTGTTCTGGGACGCGTCGAGCCGGCGCGTGTGTGGCCACTTGCTGCACTACCAGTGCGCGCAGGAGCTGCCTTCGAAGAGCTTCCCCTCATGCCGCCCCAGATCTCCCCTCACCCCGCCCCATCTCTCCCCAGGAGCTTCCGTCGAAGAGCTGCCCGCTCTGCCGCTGCGACTTCGACAAGGCGGTCGTGCTGCCGTCGCTCGAGCGTCAGCCCGAGGTGTGCTTCCGCACCGCGACAAGGCCCGGACTTGTTTTCTTTTTCTGAGTGTTGGAGTGTCGCCAGGTCTGGTTCCGCACCTGCGACGTCAAGGGGGACGGGTACCTCTCGAAGCAGGAGGTGATCAACGTGCTGCTCTCGCAGTTCCCTCTCGACGTCGACCGCTTCGAGGCCCGGATGGAGGACGCGTGGCCACAGGTGGACCCGAACGGCGACGGGTATTGTCTCGACGGACGAGCACCCTGTCTTTCTTTTTTACGCGGACCCCATGTCTCTTCTAGGGGACGGGTATGTCTCGAGGGACGAGTTCTTTGCCCCCGAGACCGGCCTGCTCGCGCTGGTCCGCGCCAACCTGTCGGACGACATGCGCGTCGAGCCCGTCGAGGCGGCGCCGCCGGACGTGCGGACGCAGCGGAACGCGTGGTTCGACCACTTTGACGAGGATAAGACGGGGTCGCTGACGCAGGAGGAGTTGACGCGCGCGCTCGTCAAGACGTACGCGCTCGGCGCCGACCTCGCCCAGGTCCGCACGATGCGCGACTTCGTCGCGGCCGTCTTCCCGGCCTTCACCGCCGAGGCGACCATCTCGCGCGACGCCTTCCTGCGGCCCGGCGAGGGCCTCGCCGACACCATCATCGCGCAGCTCGACCACCTCTCGCCCCGGCCGTCACCGAGTGGTGTCTGAAGCACGGCCGCCCGTGCTTTTTGAAGACTGACAAAATAAAGAAAAGCGTCGCGTAATGCGCCTGATGGGAGGCCGCGGGGAGCAGACGGTCGCGCTTCGCGCAGGGGTTGAGTTGTGGAGAGTATATGGGCCACGATGTCTCAAATATGAGGGGTTTTGACTCCTCCCGGCTCCTGATGCTATCCCTGGCAGCTCTAATGACCCTGAGGGGTGGCCCGTCTACCGTCTACCGGTAGACCGGGTAGACGGTAGCCCATTTGGTAGACGAGTCTACCGCAGTCTACCGGTAGACCGTAATGAACCTACGACCCCAGTCTACCGGTAGACTTGGTAGACCGCGGTAGACTCGTCTTTTATGAGATCAAATGAACGTCTTTACACACTCATCGGGCGGAACCGCTCACTGCAGAGCGCCGCCCTCTCGCGGCTCTCGAGAGCGAGTTTTCGCCAGACAGCCACACGTCCATTATGGCGCGCGTTCTCGCCGGACGGACGTTCGCCGGCAGGCCGCGAGGGCATCTGCCGGCGCTCGTCTGCCAAAGTGGCGCCAGGGTGGAGAACTGGAGGCTGCATATTCAAACGGCCGAGGCGGCCATCGCGCGGTCTACTCGAGTACCGTTCGGCGGCTGAAAAAGGGGTAGACGAGTCTACCGCGGTCTACCAAGTCTACCGGTAGACTGGGGTCGTAGGTTCATCACGGTCTACCGGTAGACTGCGGTAGACTCGTGGTAGACTCGTCTACCAAATGGTCTACCGTCTACCCCAGTCTACCCCAGTCTACCGGTAGACGGTAGACGGGCCACCCCTCAGTAATGACCAGGATCAGTAGTGTTGTGATAGAGGGTGCCCATACTAGCGCAGGAGCTGCCACACTCGCCCGGACCGTCCCCTTCTGGGGCCGGTTCCGCAGCTCGGGTCACACCAATCCTCGCTACCCAACGCGGCCAAGGATATATCAGCTGGGATATATCCACCGAGAGAGGGGTACGCGAGTACCTGGTGCTGAGCAGTGTGGAGCCGCTCGGCAGCACGGTACACGCACATCGTGCTCTCGATTTACAGCGTTAATCTGCACCCCATGTCACTTGCTCTCACCCTCACTAGCATCTCGCCTGCCCAGTTATTGCTCCATCTCCGAGCACCTCCACCTCCGCCCCGCCCGCCACCGTGGTGGTCGCCGGTGCAACCACCGGTTCCGCAGTCGGCGCCGAAGCCTTCCGCGAGCCCCTCCAACCATATGAGGCTCGCGAGGGTCCCGGGAGACCTCTGGCCGCTCGCCGGCGGACAGCGCGGCGGCTGCCGGGTGGAGCACGGCGCGTATGGTTCGGTGGACGCAATTTTGGGCGTGAGCGAGGCCGAGTGCCAAGCCCTGTGCCGCGATAGTCGAGATTGCCTCGCAACCGACTACCACTTCACTGGCGGGCCCGAAAACATCTGCGATCTCCACAAGGAGCCGGTGCTGCACGTCCTCCCCATGGGCGAGCACGCGTGCCGTATCAAGCCCAGAGCCCTGGTCAAAGTCTTCCTCGGGGAGGCAAAGGCCTTAAACTCGGAGGTGACCCACCTGCCGGCGCCTCCCTTCCCGCGGCCGCCGCCTCCACCGCCGTCGCCGCCATCGCTGCCGCCGCCGCCGTCGCCGCCGCCGTCGCCGCCAAAACCGCCGCCGCCCTCGCCGCCACCACTGCCGCCAAAACCGCCTCCATTGCCTCCTCCGCTGCCCTCCCCC